TTGAACAAGTTACATTGAGACTAATTGATTTCGAAAATATATCCTCTATCATTTGCTGTATTTATTGCCCACCAAAAGATAGCCCACATAGACCAACAGCCTTTTCTATTGTTGATTTTCTAACCAAAATTAGTGCAACTGCAAAATACTGGAATTGAAATGCGATAATAAAAGATACATACCGATAAGTTTACTATGCGGCATCTCAAAAATTTTCGAAAAGTTTTATTTGACTACATTTATGAAAGAGTGCGACATCATCTTCATAACTCTCCATATGGTTTTCGTGAAAAACGTTCAGCAATTACCCAACTCCTTGCTTACTTACATCAAGTATACCTAAATTATGATGACCAAACGACCAAAAATATAACAGCGCTCTATCTAGATTTTGAAAAATTTTTGACTGCGTTCCGCATCAACTTTTAATGCATAAAATGAAGTGTTATGGTTTTGAAGGAAAATGCAATTCAACTAATAGCCTCTTACTTATTTCTTCGAAAACAGTATGTGCGAATAAACAAAGCAAAGTCTAAGATATGTTACGTAACAAGTGGTGTCACTCAAGGTTCTCTATTGGGACCATTACTTTTCATACTATGTATAAACGACTTACCAGATAACTTGAATCTAGTTGACTCTTTTGGATATGCTGATGACTTAAAGGTTATAGCAACAACTCAAACAGAAATGAACTATGCCACTACGACAATTGAAAATTGGTGTAGTAAAAACCAAATGCGTCTAAATACCGGAATATGTACTCTCGCTAATTTCAAAAACGAGCTGGAAGGTCAAATTAATGGAAATATCCTAAAAATCGAAACTGTACAAAAGGATCTAGGAATTTTAGTAACACCCACTCTCTCATGGAATGTTGTCAGAAATCGCTATCGGCCTTTTACTCAGTAAAGCGCAACCTATCTAAAAACTGTCCTATAACTTCTAAGCTAAATGCCTACACGGGATATGTAGTCCCAATTGTAGTTTGTGACGCGTCAGTAACGCACTAATCGAAATCAAACCTCCGAACAATTGAAAAGGTTCAGCGAACGGCGGTCAAATGGATGCTTAACTCACATATCCCAAATAAGTGTAGACTACAAAAATTAAGAATGCCACCGCTGTCTCTGTACATTGAAATGCACGACCTCCTTCTGTTCATTTCTATAGTTTGCAATAACTACGAAATTGACATTAACCAATATGCCGAAAACACCAAAAGCTCAACGAGACAAAATGAAAGAAAAGATTATCAAATACCGAAAACTCGCCTTAAGAAAACCAACTCAGACTTCTTCATTAGATGCCCAGCACTTTTCAATGTCATAATTCGACATACCTCAAAACAGTTAACTGACATACAGAAATCTGACATAGCGGAAATTTATTGGAAATTCTTTGAATGATACTCAGAAATGGACAGCTGCACATGGCGAATAATTTGTCCATGTGGAAACTGTAACCCAAATGGAAAACTCAGAACCCATTAACACTAAAACTACATTTTGGGTGCAAACCCATGGGATAACAACCCTAAATCCTGTTCTACTACTACTACTACTACATGGCATTTTTCCTATAATCACGGTCTGTAGAATTGGAAATTTTGTAGCCTCTGTTCTCTGCTTATTTTGTGGCTAGTGTTTGTGATATATAAAGTGTCCGTGGCTCAATGGTTTGTTCGCGAGACTCCTAATATCTAAGTCGCAGATTAAATCCGAAACCTAATTCGAAACCTTAAATTTCAAACCTAATTTGAGGCTTATTTCTATGTTTTTATTGCACCTTAAAGAGCTGCTTGTTGTCGTGTTTTGAGCCTGAATTGGTAATGTTCACATATAACGAATTTTACTCGATCGCTTTAATCGCTCGGAAATAGGCAAAAAAATTTAAGTTTTAGACCATTTTTTCTTGGTTTTGCGCGGAAAACAAAAAAGAAAAAACTAAAATCAGAATACAAAACTTCTCCCCAATTTGAAGAAGGATAGCTTGTTGCTAGGCAAATAGCACTGAATGTTGCGACCACCTTCTCAGAAAAAAAAATTTTTGTACGGCGTGTGATGATAAAACTTCACAAACGCGTAGAATTTTCGAAAACTTGACATATACAATTCCAGTTGTCGTCAAAAATTAATTAAACAAAAGAGTGATAGTTTTTAATTTAATTTCAATTTTTGCACTTAAGATCTCAAATGTATTTGAAATTTTTTTTACCAGAGAAGCTCTGAATGAAGCTTCGAGAACTAATTTGCTTTCAGTAAACTCAAGTATTTTGAGCCCTAATTGCTACTTTTCTTATATTACAAACGTTACTCGATCGCTTTCCTCGCTCGTAAATAGAAGAAAAACAAAAAACTTCAAACCAGCTTTTCTCGACTCTGGGAAAAACTTACCAAATACAAAGTTCCTCTCCATTTTCAATGGCTGGAACAAAAACTCTTATTTCGAACAAATTGATTATAATATAAAATTTTGATCCTTAAGTTAGGCTTACTCCGCGCTTAAGAAGGTTGAGGAAATAGTTTTTGTTCCAACCATTGAAATTGGGGAGGAACTTTGAATTCGGGCGTGTTTTAGCTTTTATTTTTTTTTGTTCCGAACATTTCAAAAATGTGGAGGAACTTCGTATTCAGGTATGTTTTATTTTTTGTTTTCCACTCAGAAGTTAAATCATGTACCACTTTCTGAATGCACCTTGGTATATATGCTCGATTTGAGTTCAATTCAATTTTATCTGCTACAAGTTAGGTAAGCTGCGCTTTCCAATTACAAAAGTGTAAAGGTGACGGAAAACGTGATTGACTTTTAGTTCCGATCGTTGTATTTGGGTGCATTTTAGTTTTTTTTTTGTTTTCACGCAAAGTCAGGTAACAGAAATAATCATCTGACATGGTCAGGTGATATTTCATGTTAAAGTCCTTTCAGTGTCAAGAAAAACCGATTAGGTTTTTTTTAGCAAATAGGCTTAGAATTGGCTTTTTTTAGGAAAAACATAGTATTATTCAAGGTCTGAACATTGAAGTTTGCTCTATTTAATATATTTTGTGAAGTTTTTAGCGCCATTTTGGGGATTGCATATATAATTTTTTTCTATTTTTATTTAGATTTTTCTGGTAAATGTGCGACAAAAACAGTTGAACATCCTGCGAATTTTACGAAGACTGTAGAATATGCTTAAGTTTTAGACTTTTGCCAAATCTTTTGATCAAATTAAGCAAATAAAAACGACATTCAATTGAAAAAAAAGATATTCGTTTTCAAGAATATGTTCGGACAAGACCATTCTGGTGGGACAAGAATATGGTCTTTTTCAAGAAAGTTTTGTGCTTCTTGCATAGAAACGGGCTAGTCTTGCTTTTTGCATGGCTAGGAGTCGATGAACGTGGTTCAGACTCTTATATAGGTCGCGATCTTTTTTTTTCAGGAAAAAGGTTTAAGTTTGTTCAGGCTCAATTTTAACTTTTCGCGGCTTGACTTCTCGTTTCTTTCTAAATTCAGTTCATTACCTCAGTTAAGAGGAAGGCACGCTCCAGTATCGAACAGCAAACAGATAAAGTTCATAAAAACGTGATCGACTTCTAGTTTCGAAAGTGGAACTTAATTTTGATATTTCCCAGCGAAATCAAAAAATTTAATATTCCATCCAGTTTTCTCAAATTGTGTTAATTTTGTCATAAATTGGTCAATCACAAATTGTTCTAGAAATTCAAATAGCTCTAAAGGGCATCTAATTGTTTTCTCTGAAATTCATAAATTAAATTCTTAAGTCAGTTTTTTTTCTGTTTACTGCGTTCATTGACTCTTTTCCAACTGTATGTTTTAATGTTTTGTCCTACTAAGCTGATGTAAAGCAATCTGTTTTTGGGCCCCGAGCTGTAATATGAACCTTCTTGGATGAGGTTGGATGACATTTGACAAATTTTTGAACAGTTTTTTCTTAAAACTGTTTTTTAAATCCTAACTGCGAATGAGATCTCTCATAGATACAAAAATTTTTAGTGTGCCGGATCTAAATGCTTTTGGACACATTATTAACAGCGTGCTAACATTTTTTTTTCAAAAGTTCATCTTTCTAGGCTTTCATCGAACGAGACCCACAAAGAACAATACTCGCAGCCCTTGACCTATCAAAGCATTTTTAGAGACCATCCTTCCAAGGCCGGAAAAAACCGCAGTGTATTTCCTCAGGGATCATTCGTTCTCCTGACTCTTTTCTACTGTACTTGACTCAACCACGCCCCCAAAAAAGCAAAGACTCAAAGGCAAAATTATGAAATTTATATCAAAGTATCTTTCGTACTTTTCGAAAACTTCATCTCGAACTCTCCACTTTCTAAGTGTTCTCTAACTCTCCACTACATCTCCACTAATTTCCCCTTCTTATTTAAAACTTAAACGCATTTAACGCAAGGCCAACTGCAGCCCCGCAAAACTTCGCTCCAGTTAACCACCTTTTGTAAACTTACCTAAATCGAATACCCCAGACGAATATCGCACGTTTTATCCCCTAAAGCCCAACCCACTGACTATGCTCTCACTCTAGTCTAGTCCTTTTGAACCAACTGTTTTACTCTGACTGAATCCTTTGTCAAGCACATCAGTTTCCAGAGCTAATTCTTTGACGACTAAAAGGGTGCTGCCCCAGAAGAGGCAAAATCAACAACAAAGGTAAATACTTTGCTTTCCTTTTGGACTTTTGCTTTCCTATGCGTTTGTTCATTTTTTTGCACGTATAGTTTCTATTCAATGAGTCTGGATATGTCCAGGGCGCGGTAGGAGCCAAGTATTTAATTTCAAGGTCGACTGCGTGATCGCTTATTTTTTAAGCCACAAAACAGCTTATTTTGGCTCTCTGATTAATCCGATTTTCATTACAAGTATCGTCAGGTCTAGCTTCAGCTCGTCTTAAAATTATATCGAGAGTACTTTATTCTCCAGCTCGATAATGTAAAAACATATATTCTTTCATTTTAAATCTGATCTGGATTTTTTAGACTGTAATGCACTCTTAAATTCTGTACAAAGAAAAGTCCTGTTGTTTTCTTGCAGTGTTTCTCTGACAAAAATACAGACCCATTTTCATATTTTATCACTTCACAATTGCGCTTTCGTTCGATAAATCTTATTTTTCCTAAAGAAAGCTCATTTCCCAATTTACATACTATCCACGCAATCCGAAAGTGGGCGTCCCGTGATTGCATTTCATCCAGTTAGCTGAGCGGTGTGTTTGCGTGCACATTTCCCCATTTTACTTATTAATTCGATTAATCTGGCTGCTCTGGTGAAAAGCATTAGCTTGACTGAGGAGAGTGAGCCCCTGGTACTGGGTTGGGGTCTCTGAGACCCGCTTGACCCCGTTACGAACCAACCACTCTTCACCCGATTACCAACTACGATCCCGTCTATTTATAACAGGAGGCTGGGCCTTTGTTAGATCGTTTCAGCTCAGGATTATTATCACGATTTCAGAGGTTACAAAGAAACAAGGCAGCCAATACAGCTGACTAGAACCACAATCATAGATACGGATTAGTGTTGATCGAATAAACGAAAATTGGATGATACCTGAGTTATAGCTTTGAATTGTGTTGTCGTACAGAGAAGTTGAGCTGTTGCTGACCTGAAGACGGAATAGCTGCAATCAGACCCAGACATAGCTTTCAATAATTTACCCTCAGAAGTAGAACAGATATTCCTCACTTTCACTCTCATTTTGTTTGCCTTATCTCCCGGCTCTAAATTGCTTTCACTCTTTCGAGACTTACTTGAGAGAAAGTTTATTTTAAGCTTTGCTGCTGTGCTGAGCCGCACAGCATCAAATGAGACTACTGATAAGTAACCTCATGTTCTTCTGGTGCGCTTTTTTCCTGTCTACTTGCTAGTTGCTCCAAGCTTGAAATTACTTTTCCATCTCTCTCACTAGGTCGCTGCGCCTCTGTGGGCACTAAAATCATCAAAGTGCTCAGTGCCCCCTCATCTATTTCTTACCCTGCATCAGTTGTGTTGTTGTAACTGTAAGGTCAAATACATCAGCTAAGATGGATTGGAGCTAAATGGCACCACTGTACCACCAGTCTGCGCCACCCATTCAGCTTCTCTGATCACCTCCTTCTCGCCCTCTGAATTCCCTGTCCTGTATCACATCATCATCACCGCCATAGTCCCACTCACACTTCCTCAGCAGACCACTGCCACCACTCTCCTTTGTTCATACTGTTTGCACAGCAACTACTCTACCGAAATGAGCAACGCTGTAAACGCAACGAACACCAACAGCAGCAGTATTAGTGTTATAAATACTGATGGTGTGTCTGCTTCAAGGAAAAGTTCAGTCTCTGATGAGGCGGCGGAGAATCCAGAGGAAATAAATACATGTGCAGTCGCTTCAAAAGGTATTTATAATGATATTTATAAAGCAACTGACGCGGGATCGAGCAAAGATTCAAAATCGCACATGCAGTCTCAAAAATCGACAGAGTCGAATGACCTGAAAGGAGAAGCAGGGGCTACCGTTGCCTGCGAGTCGGACTGGACATCGCCGGTGAAAAGTGTAAATAGAGGCGTTGCATCATCTGGGTCCTCAGTTTCAGGAGCGGCTAATCCCCCTCTCTCACTGGCCAAGAAAGCGACCAAGTTCGAGATCATCAGCGTACAGGAGGTCGAGAATGACGAAGTAGACGATGGGGAAGAGAGCGGAGAAGACGTGGAAGACTCTGTCACTGAGCTGAACTCCAATCAGTCACGAGGCAGCTTCAGCAACGAAGAATACTCTAAAGAAGCGCCGCTATCACAGACTGTAACCAATCTCCTTGTTGCAAAAGATGCACCCATGGTAGGAGGACAGAGCAATGATAATGGGAACAATGAATCAACCTTATTGGATTCAAAAATGCCCATGAAAGACGGAAATAAGGCCAGTATATCTAATGCGCCATATAGCAGAACTAACTCAGAAGAACTCGCTGCCAATGGACACACAGTATTATCTTCCACCACTCTTTCCCGAATGCAGCCCAAGGTTGTGTCCAACAAACGAGCTCTGGAAAACAACATTTCTTCTATTGCTCCCCATGGCCAGTTAGTTGTGAGCGAAGCTTATTGTAGCCAAGGCTCGCCCCCAAATGGAATAGCTGATGACGGTGCTGTAGGAGTACCGATTAATCAGACTCAGTCCAACGTAGCGTTGAATACAAATCCTAATTCATCCACACTATCAGCTTCAGTTTCGCATCATCCACACTCTAATGTTTTGCCATCGAGGTTCCGGGTGGTCAAAAAGGTGAAGCCGTACCATGGGAAACGAGGCAGATGGGATTGTAATGACGTCCCCTCCGACGTAATCATGAGGAGCACCAACTCAAATGCCGTTCCAGCTAATTCAAACCACCCCACAATCATCGCTGCCCACGCCAACTTAGCCGGTGGAGTCAGTCCGGAACATCAGCAGCAGCAGATGTACAATTCCAACGCAGCCCTCACCAGAGTCATGTGTCAGCACGTGAATTCAAACAATGCCTCCTTCGCATCTGCCGAAGACATGAGTGGGTCGAACAAGAACCCCATTCATGTACCCTTAGTTAGTCACGTGACTTCCTCTGGCAACAGCCAGAAGGGCAACTTGCAGGAGAATCAGATTGGATTCCATCCAATTGCGTCGCTGGATGAGGCACTAAGTAATGCTGTTACGGGGGATGCGATATCAGAAAGGAAGCAGTCTCTGCCCAACTGGTCAGGAAGTGGATTATTTTTAATGAGTAAATTACCTATCAACAACAAGGGTAGCCGGTTGCTGTGCATGTATCACAGAATGTTCCGACCACATTCTCAGGGTCGGAGATAGTGTCTTTTTTCAAGATAGTGTCTTTTTTTTCAAGATAGTGTCTTTTTTGTACGTCGCGTGATGATGCAACTATACGAATGCGTAGCAATTTGGTGAGTTTGGTATAAACGGCTCCAATTGTCTCCAAAATAAATTATAAAAAAAACATGAAAAATTGCTCTAAAAATTTTAAATATTTTTGAAACTTTTTTTGCCAAAGAAGAGCTAAAGGACTGATAATCTAAGGTTAAATTCATCATTTACTGCTAGGGAGATTCATGAGCGATTATTTCAGGGAATCGGGAGGCACCTTGGCTAATGGGGACGTGAGTGCGAGCAAGAATCATGCAGCTATCTTTGCTGCTGTTGCTACTAGGTGTGGATCTTCTCGTTCGGATGAAGACAGTGGCGGCAGCTCTGAAGCAGGCGCACGAGGAGCTCTTGATGACGTCACCAGGAAGCTGGAGCAAGTAATGGTGAGAAACTACTGAGACCGTTTGATGGCGTGGTACCTTTCTAAGAATAATGAACTTTGACGCTTCATTTCGAGTACATATTGGGTGCAAGTATAGAACTTAAAATGAAGATTTTTGGTGCTAAAAAGATTACCTGTTTACTATTTACTAACAAATTCACGTGTTTATTGGCTGTGCTTGATTAAGCAAAAATGAGTGCTGAACTTTTCCTTAAATCCAATGTTGTTTAACATGCTTTACTATTTAGGAGGTGGTGAAGTCTCATGTGGTGATGACTGTACAAGAAGAATTCGAAATGGTCAAGTCTGAGCTGGAGAACATAAAAGCGAGAAATATTCAACTGGAAAAAGAAAACTCTTTCCTGAGACAGCAGCAGCACGGTAACAGTAAGAAGAGAGATGCATCGATTCAAGTCAACTCGTCAACTATGACAGCCAACCAGGAATCGATCGCATCAAATATCAAGAATGAAGAGGCCACATCATCAGGCGTGGAAAAGCTTGCTACTGTTCGGCCGAGCTCCAGTTCTCCAGCAGTCAGTATGCCCTACGTTGTGCTCGGCATTGGCAATGCATCTAGTTCCAATATTGCTTTGAACTACCACACAAACCACAACGAGTTCCAGCCAGTGTTTCAGCGTCCGACGCAGTTGCAATCTCTAGGCTATTATCCAATGTCTTTCATGCAAAATGCACCCACTATTACTCACGCTCTCCCTGGTGCCTCACATCATCAGAAGCTCTCGACATCTTCAGAGGATCAGAATCACGGTTTGAATGGAATGCTGACATTGGAAGCTTCCGGCACTACCAATGCTCAGCAGCTTCAGACTTCTTATTCCAAAGGGGGTTCTGATTCTGGTAGAAGCTCCCTGGAACCAACGAAGGAGAGAAATCAATCATTTGATTCTGCTTCCCAGCAGTCGATGGCTAATGATTCGACAATCAATGGAAATCAACAGCTGTTGCAATATCAGTCTCTGAACTTTGCACAGCAGCCTTCAACTAAAAGTAACTTGATCAGTGGTGCCAATCAGAATATAGGGACTTCTTCCAATGCGTATGCCTCAGTGCAAAACATGGTTCAAATTCAATCCAATAGTGATGCTAGTTCTTCTGCCTCGGATCAGACTCACATGTTGCAGCAGCAGCAGCAGCAGACTCTTTCTGTGATTCCTGCTCAGCAGGTGTCGCAATCTCAGCAGCAGCAATTTGCGGCAGCATTTCAACATTCTCATCTGAATACGATTGCTGGTGGACTAATGCCGGTGCAACAGGTTCAGCCTCAACAACAATTATTTTATATGCCGCAAGTAGCGCTGCAGCCAATTCAGCAGTCACATGGATTCAGCTTTTCCATGGTGCCACAGATGCAAAACCACTCTGCCTTGTATCTTCCCCAATCAAATATGGTCGCCCATGCCACCGGAACCGCAGCTCCTCCTCAGCAACAAGTAGCCGGAAACCCTTACGCACACCAGTTCGTTAATACAGCCGGGCTAAATTTCTACAACGGAAATTCACCAGCCATGTATTTTCCCCAAAATTCTGCACAACACAACACTGCATACGTAGCCTGTACCTCAAACGCCCAACCTACAGTCTTGACAGCCTCAAATGGGGGCGCCATCAGCCAGATGGCCATGAATGGAAGCGACATGCAACATGCCGCCGCCGTCCAGCCCATTCAAGGTCAAGTGGTGGTAACTGCATCTGAGTCCAACCCCAATAGACAATCTTCCAATGGAGGAGGAGGAGGTGCCTGTGCCTCCCAGTCTTTGCCAAGTGCGGCCCAGTGTTTGGCCCAGCAACTATTCAGAGGAAACATCCCGCCAGCATCCCAGAACATGAATAGCTGAGGTATGTCAGCATAAAGGAGTGCCAGTCAATGCGACAACTTAAGTGTGCTGACACAATGTTAACTTCAATAACCAAGTCGATCACAAAGAATAAGGGGGACTGTTTTTGAAAACCCTGCTAATTGTGCTGTTAGATTATCATATCAATTAAATTGGAAGACGTAGGTATTTTTGGGTCGACGAAATTTTGAAACCATCTAACTGTTTATCTGTATGTGGACTCAAAATGGCCATTGGACTGGTTGGACTTAAGTGGTGTATGGGTTATTTTCTGAAATGCTTCCTTGTTAAGAGTAATTAACGTAGTTAGGACTCTTATATATGTCTTGCTGATTTTTTTTTTTTTTTTTTTTTTTTTTTTTTTCGTTTTTATTTCAGGAAAAGTCTTAAAAGTCTCTAATAACTACAGATTTGCATTCATACATATATTGATGCATTTATGAATGCACTTAGGTAAATATGCACTTTTTGAGTTCAATTGAAATTCATCTGCTGAAAGTGGCGTAAATAGCACTCTCCAATTAGGAACGTGTAAATAGCGCGGTAAAAAACGTGAACGATTTCTAGTTTCGAAAGTTGACTTTAGTTTTTAGGTTTCTAGCGGAATAAACTTTACTGTTGATCCAGTTTTCTCAAGTTGGGTTAATGTTATCAGAAAAGCGCAAATCAAAAATCGTTCAAGAAATTCAAAGAGCTTAAAGGGCATATATTTTTTTCTTTCAAATTCGAAAGTTGAGATTTTATCAACGAAGTCATTGTCTTTTTAATGTTTGCTTGCGTTCATTACTCTTTTCCAATCGCTATCATTGCGATGGGCAACATGCTATGTTCGTGTTCTCAGAATTATTTGTCATCTCATCGAAATCGCAGCTTATCTGGCTGCATCTGAAAAGTAGGTGCAAAGGTACTTAAGGCCATTTGAATTAAATGAAGTTTAAGATTCGCTGAAAAATATTCAAGTTTTGGCGTGATGTATGCCTCAAATGCAATGTTATTTTTGTAGTTGGTTCAAATTCATATATTGTTTTACTGCCATAACTTACTTGAATTTCTTCCTTAAGTCGTATTTTGGGTTAGTTAAATTTATTTCTGGTGCTACTGAAATGGTTAATTGGTGTAAACTGTTTTAAGCATTTGCAAATGACAATAGTTGACCATAGAATGTCTGTGTTTACGTTACGAGCTATCCCGTTCTGTCTTAAAACTGGCTTGAAAGAACTTAGTTAAAAACAACTTCGTAATGATGGAAAAATTGGAAATGTATTTGTGCCTTCATTAATTTAATGTTAGTTTGAGCGCAGAAATTGCCCATTTGTCCAGCTTCAGAAAGCGGCATTATTCATTCAGATCTATTACGCTAAATAACTCAATAACCCTGTTCAATAATTTAACGCTTTTTCTCTATGTATTTTTTCTATGAAGCTTATTGTGATAAGGGTTCCGAGCTCATCATTTTCACACCCTAAGTGGTTGCAGTTTAGGAGATGGCATTTCGATATATTTTGACCTAAAACAGAGCTTTAAATATTTCCAACTCGATACCTGCGTATCCAGCATTTCAAAAGCGCTACCGTATTAAACAAGAAGGGTCGTATCTTAGCGAAACCCGTAATGTCCAACTGCCCTTTTTTAAAGTATTGGCGGAAAATAATACATTTTGCAAGAAATAAATGTATTTTCTTATTCGCCACACCAAAGGAAAGCCACTACTTATATAGCTTTCACACAGAAACCTTATGTGAACAAATTACAGCGTGCCTCAATTGAATTTGGAATATGATTTGTGCTCGGATTCAATTGTTTGATTACGAGTTGCTCAACATAAAACTAAATCGTATATGAAGTACTCTAAATTAGTCCATGTTTGAGCCCCTGAACAAAAATCGATCATGCGCTCAATTGGGGGACCGATTGTGTAGCAGACCAATCTGTTAGCATGAAAAAGAAAATTGAGTCTTTTGGCAGAAGAACGGAACAAAGTAATGCATGATCGATTGACAGACTCAAAAAGATGCTCAGCCTGGGGTCAAGCCTCCTCGATTAAGACAATTATCTCACGATTAGTCAACAAAATCATAAACTTCAATAGTCGAAATTAGCTGCAAAACAAAGAGTTACGCGCACAATAACAAGTGCCGAATAAAAGTGCAGCGGATCAAGCAGTCGCTAATTGCCAATGCCGGGTATGAAGCTAGCGTTTTGACTTGCTAATTGCTCTGAGTCTGCTAAAAAAACCGGTCTGATAAAATCCCTTACACCGCTTAGTTTATATCTTTCAAACTGCTAGGTATTTTAGCACACCGTTTTTATGTTGTGAAAGAACGAAGCGATTTTCAATATATAGGTGTTGATGATTTTTTTCTGGTAAACCTATGAAATTTGTTCATGCTCAAATTTGATTTTTTTTTGCGATTTGATATTGACTTTTTTTAAAGTTCTTTGTTTAATTGTAGAAAAACACACTGGGGAACAGTAAACGCTTAAAGTGCGAGAAAGACGTGAATAACTTCTTGTTACACAAATTGACTTTAATTTTGTGAATTTCCAGCAGAATAAAAAATCATCTATTGACTCAGTTTTCTCTGACTTCGATAAGTTTGAGTAAAAATTGCCAATCGTAAACAACTCTTGCTGTAACGGGATATATTTTTTCCTTCAAAAGTTGAACCATTTTCAAAAGTATTCAATCAACTTTTTTTGGTTTTCAATCAACTTTTTTCAATCAATTTATTTTATGCTTTTCTATCTTTCTGTTGGCTATCTTTTAGAAGACACATCTTTAAGCAGACTTAAAGAAGCTTACAAGTCAGAATGCTACTTTCAAACGCGGCATTGACAAGTAGCAACCGCTTGCTCTGCTGTGATTTCAATTGTAAATCATTGTGTGCCGCTAATTTTCTTTGTTTTCTTTTATCTTATTAAGGGTAGCTAAATTCGAAACTAAGCGCCTTTCGAGGTCCAGAATCAGGTCCGTCTAATTATGCATCAGTTTTAGTTCGTTGCTAAAAGATTGGTTTTCACTGTTTATACTAGAAAAAATTATTATGCTGAAAAATCGATCCCCATATTCTACGTTTGAATATAACAATCTATTATATATTTAAATGCGGGCTTCACTATCTCGCCATGTTTAAGTTTTTTCAACGTATTATTTTTGCATGTTTAAGCTATATCGTATATTGCAATGGTTAAGAATTTTTTTTCGATTTTCCAATTTGATTTTAGTGGTTATTTTACCGAGTTTGAATTAAGCAGTTCAATATCGAATTAGGGGCTGCGAATTTGGCCTCCAATTTTGAATGTCCGAATCATTTTAGTTAACGTGTATTATATATTTAAATGCGGGCTTCACTATCTCGCCATGTTTAAGCTTTTTCAACGTATTATTTTTGCATGTTTAAGCTATATCGTATATTGCAATGGTTAAGATTTTTTTTCTCGATTTTTCAATTTGATTTTAGTGGTTATTTTACCGAGTTTGAATTAAGCAGCCCAATATTGAAATAGGGGCTGCGAATTTGACCTCCAATTTTGAATGCCCGAATCATTTTAGTTAACGAGATAAGACGATTTTTGAGATTTTTTCAAAAATTTTCAGAAATTTCAAATAACAAAATAATTCACAAAACTTGAAGTTCCCAACCCTGTAGTTGGGTACTGTCAGAGTACTATCAAGGATTGCGAGTCTTGCCTCCAAATATGACTGCTCAAATCCTTGTAGTTTTCGAGATATGACGTTTTTGTGATTTTTTTCAAAAATTTCAGAAAATTTTATTTCATTATTTTTCAAAGTTTGAAATTCGCAACCTTGTAGTTGGGTGATATCAGAGTACTTTAAGGAATTACAAATCTTGCCTCCAAATATGACTGTTCAAATCCTTGAAGTTTTCGAGATATGACGTATTTTGTGATTTTTTCAAAAAATTTTCAGAAAACTTGTATTTTTTTTTCGCAAATCTGAAATTTCCAACCCTGTAGTTGGGTACTGTCAGAGTACTCTCAAAGATTGCGAACTTGCCTACAAATATGACTGCTCAATTCTTTGTAGTTTTCTAGATATGACGTTTTTTGTGATTTTTTCAAAAGTTTTCAGAAAACCTAAAATATATTTTTTTTGAAAATCTGAAATTTCGAACCCTGTAGTTAGGCCCTGTCAGAGTACTCGCAAGGATTGCGAATCTTGCCTCCAAATATAGATGTGACGTTATCGAGATGTGACGTTTTTTGTGATTTTTTCAAAATCTTAAGTTAATTATTTAAAGAAAGTTTAAATCAATTATTTTTCAAAATTTGAAATTCCCAACGCTATAGTTCGGTGTTGTCAGGGTACTCTAAAGAGTTGCAAATTTTGCCACATGCGACTGCTAAATGGGACTGCTCAAATGACTGCTAGAGGTAAGACTTTTTTCAATTTTTTTTTTTTTTCGGGAAACTTAGGTTTAAAAATTTCATAAAATTTTGAATTCCTAACCCTATAGTAGGGTGCTCTCAGGGACTCTCAGTGGTTGCAAATCTGGCCTCCAAATTTCTCCAGAGGCCCTTTAAGTTTCCGAGATGACGCTTTTAAAATGGGAATTTAAAAAATTAAAAAGTTCGAAATAACCAACCCTGTAATTGGGTGCAGTCGGAGTACACTTAAAAGTTTGCAGATGTTGGTTCCAATATATGCGGTTTTTCATGAGTTGTCGAAAAATTTCGAAGCACCGGAAGTCCGATAAACGCTAGTTTTCTTTGAAGAGTAATGAACGTAGTGAAGTCTCTTATATAGGTCTTGCTGATTTTTTTTTCTGGAAAAAGTCTTAAAATATTAATGCACTTAGGTATAATGCACTTTTTGAGTTCAATTGAAATTCATCTGCTGAAAGTGACGTAAATTGCACTTTACAAATACAAACGTGGAAATGGCGCAAAAAACGTGAAGGATTTTTAGTTTCGAAAGTGGAATTTAATATTTAGATATCCTGCGGAATAAAAATTTTGCCTGTTGATCCAATTTTCTCTAGTTCGTTCAATGTTATCAAAAAAGCGCCTATCATAAATTGTTCTAGAAGTTCAAAAAGCTTAAATGAAATCCATTTTTTTCTTTGAAAATCGAAAGTTTTTTGCCGTGTTTTCAGGTAATAGTTGTTCATGCTCAAACCACTTCACAATTTCTTAAGATTTAAAATTCTTTTCTCATTTGGAAGCCAATTATCGCTCTGCGAAAACAAAAGGATAAATGGCAGCATAAAAGCGACTGACTCTTAGTTGCAATCAAGCCTTATCAGATTTTTTGAACTTTTTCTTCAGCTAAATCAAATGTCTAACTGAATCAATTTCTCTTTT